TTATGAGGCAAATTTAAACTTTAATTTTTATTTGCCAGTGGCTCTGGGAAACTAGGTTTTGTTTATTCGAATGTAAATTATCACATTCTTTAAGATGGCTACTGGCAGGACACTATATTAACTGTGTGCTGGGGGAAGGGCCTCTACCCTTTCCTTCCTCAACAAAGGATGTAGCCAGTTACCTGGATACTTAGATCTTTATAATTAATATATTATTTATTTATATTTCTATAATCTCTTTGAGATTCTAGAATTAATTATACTTATTTTAAAGTATTTACTTTGGATAAATTCTATGTCAGAGACAAATTTACTTATTTTCTTGAAGGCTTTAAAAATTAACTTTTTAATAAAGTTCATTACCATTTTGAAAACTACTCTTTATTATGGAAATGCAAATCTTGTTGCTGGAATTAGTTTGAATTTCTTTCAAGAAGATTTTTTCACCATTTTTTCTCAGGAAAAAGAATCAGCTCTGGGTTTTTCATTTCTGTAGCCCTGTAAAGAATTAAGTCCAGTTCAAGACCTATCTAATATCCGGAATCGGACGTGTGCACATTTTGTCTTATACTAGCTTTCTCTTTACAAGTGTACGGATATCCCAGACGCATTTCTAAATTTTAAAAAAAAATTTTATGGCGAGAAAGGAAACTTTTAATTTAATATACTAGGAGAGCGGGCTTCTATATTGGATCACCTCATGTCTCTCCCTTCCCCCACATCCTGCTTACTTCAGGGGAAGCATCAGCAACAGATCTGGCTGAATTTCTTTTCATGCTTAAAAGATAGACAGATCTCAATTTTTTCTTCCTTTTTGGCTTTCTGAAATAATAACTAATACCCAATTTGGCCAAGATTTGCATTTCCCTGCGAGTTCTCTTATAATTTTTAAATAAGGCATTAAGTAGTCTTTTTAAAAATATATATATTTTATTGATTTTACACAGAGAGGAATTGAGAGAGACAGAGAGTTATAAATGTTGATGAGAGAGAAACATCGACCAGCTGCCTCTTGCACACCCGCCACTGGGGATGTGTCTGCAACCAAGGTACATGCCCTTGACCCAAATCAATCCTGGGACCTTTCAGTCTGCAGGCCGACGCTCTATCCACTGAGCCAAACCGGTCCCGGCGCATTAAGTAGTCTTATTGCAAGTAATCTTAATGTGGGAGAGCAGATAGCCCTGCCCTCTCTTGCTGCCTTTGAATTTATCCGCATCAGAGGCAGTTTCAGCAGTGGAGTTCCACTTATTACAGATTTTAAATTCCATATACACACTAAGATTCTAATTTCAACAAAAAACAACATGATTTTGTGATCACATAGACTTTAACATTTGCCTCTAAAGGGCACTTTCACTTTGTCCCATGCTTTACTCCCGACTATCAATAAATTGCTCCTCCCTTACCTTAACGAGTGCACTCTTTGTCAGGAGGAGTTCCTCACCCTCTGCTTCCCAAGTCCTCAGGTCCCTGGATTCGGGCGCCAATTGCCAGGGCCTGCCTGGCAGGTTGAACTGGGCTGAGGTAGGGAGGTGGGAATTGAGAAAAGAAAGAGAGACGGAAGAGCAGGGTCGGAGGACTACAAGTCATCGAGGAACTGTAGCAAGTTTATTAACTATGCAATGCTTTTTATGCACAAAACACTGAATAGGAGGTCTGTCAAGAGGAATGTATTCTTTGTTCCTCTTAATCTCTAAGGGACGGAGCAGAAGACAAATTCCTGGTACAGTAAATCTCAGTAAATAGTTACAGACTTCTTGGCAAGCCATGAAAGGTTGCTCTCATTCTACTGATAATCGCCATCCAATCAAGTCAGGGAGTCGGGACCAGTTTGGCTCAGTGGATAGAGCGTCGGCCTGAGGGCTGAAGGGTTCCGGGTTCGATTCTGGGCAAGGGCATGTACCTTGGTTGCAGGCACATCCCCAATAGGGGGTGTGCAGGAGGCAGCTGATAGATGATTCTCTCTCATCGATGTTTCTAACTCTCTCTCTCTCTCTTCCTCTCTGTGAAAAATCAACAAAAAAATAAAAAATAAATAAAAGTCAGGGAAAACAACTGTTTGCAAGGACCTTGTTAGCTTACATCCTGTCACCAAAAAGGGCCAGGTTGGCTCCAGGCGCCATGGGCCGCTTGTGCTTCTCCTCCTCACACGGGAGTCTCCAGACGGCTCCCGGCTCGAGCTGATTGACACCGACTGAAAACCACCGTCATCTCTCCGCAGCTGCTGTGGGTTCTGGAGACTTCTCAGCAGCCGTGACATAGGGGGGCCTGTCCTCAGCTCTGGCGCTCACCTTCCCCACGGCTTTGAGAACAGCAACGAGGTCCCCAGAAGTGACGGCTAATGTCATGTGTCACCTTGGCTGGGCCATGGGCCCCGCTGTGTGGTCGAACACCGATCTAGATGCTGCCGTGTGAAGGTGTGTGTACGAGAAGGTGTGTGTGTAAGTCAGCGACTCCAAGGGAAGCAGATTCCTCGCCATAATCTTATGATGGGTGGGCCTCATTCCATCAGTGGAAGGCCAAGAACAAAGACCGAGTTTCTCAAAGGAGATCAGATGACAGCTAGTTATCGAGATGACAAACAGATAAATGGTAAGTATGCAGATGATAGACAGATGGACAGACAAACAACAGAGAGTTAGATAGATGGATAGGTAGACAGGCAGATGAAAGATAGACGGATAAATAGGTCCTCGATTATCCTGGAAGGGGCTGGCAGGGCATGGCCGGCTTCCAGGACACGGTGGGTCGTGGTAGGGTTGGCAGTGGGCTGTGCAGGCAGCCCGCCGACCTCACGGAGCCGGGCTAGCTGAATGCGTTCCGCTGACCCACAGCAGTGCCCAAGCCCACGCAGTGCGGATTTGCAGGAGCCCTGCTTCGCCCCGGAGCGGAAAATCAGGCACTGGGCTTTGTGCCTGGGCAGACTGCTGGCCGCACGGGAATCCTGCAGACCCAGCACATTCCGCCTTTGTGTGAGGGGCCCGGGTCAGCGCCCGGGCGCAGAGGCCAAGCTGCTGAGGGCAGGCTGAGCGGGGCTCAGAGATACCGCAATGGGACGGTCCGCAAGGGTGGCTGTGGGTGGCTGTGAGGGTGGCTGTGGGGTGGCTGTGGGGTGGCTGTGGGGTGGCTGTGGGGTGGCTGTGAGGGTGGATGTGGGGTGGCTGTGGGGTGGCTGTGGGGTGGCTGTGGGGTAGCTATGAGGTGGCTGTGGGGTGGCTGTGAGGGTGGCTGTGAGGGTGGCTGTGAGGGTGGCTGTGGGGTGGCTGTGAGGTGGCTGTGAGGTGGCTGTGGGGTTGCTGTGGGGTTGCTGTGGGGTTGCTGTGGGGTGGCTGTGAGGGTGGCTGTGGGGTGGCTGTGAGGTGGCTGTGGGGTGGCTGTGAGATGGCTGTGGGGTGGCTGTGGGGTGGCTGTGAGGGTGGCTGTGAGGGTGGCTGTGGGGTGGCTGTGAGGTGGCTGTGAGGTGGCTGTGGGGTTGCTGTGGGGTTGCTGTGGGGTTGCTGTGGGGTGGCTGTGAGGGTGGCTGTGGGGTGGCTGTGAGGTGGCTGTGGGGTGGCTGTGAGATGGCTGTGGGGTGGCTGTGGGGTGGCTGTGAGGGTGGCTGTGGGGTGGCTGTGAGGGTGGCTGTGGGGTGGCTGTGAGGTGGCTGTGGGGTGGCTGTGAGATGGCTGTGGGGTGGCTGTGGGGTGGCTGTGAGGGTGGCTGTGGGGTGGCTGTGAGGGTGGCTGTGGGGTGGCTGTGAGGTGGCTGTGGGGTGGCTGTGAGATGGCTGTGGGGTGGCTGTGGGGTGGCTGTGAGGGTGGCTGTGAGGGTGTGTACATCCCCCACACATGATTTGACTGGGGAGGCACAAAGATGAATAAGAAACTTCTCACCGCCTGGATTGCCCATCACCACCGGCAGGGGTGGGGACAGCATTCTCCTTTGCTGTGGGTGTGAGTGAGCACAGCGCTCCCCAGAGGTCACGCTACCGACGAACACCTAAAGCCTTAACTCCAGGAAACATCTAACGTCTGAAAACTGAGGGGTGGCAGGTGCCCTCGGGGGAGGCATCCTGAGCGATCAGAGCACAGGCCACGGAGACAGAAGCCACGGAGGAGCAGGCCTGGCCGATCCCTGTGCCCGCACGGCGGGGGCAGGCCCGACGGGGCGCCTGCTCTCAGGGACGGCGCGCCCGGGAAGGACACAGCAGCAGGCTGGGCCCCGGGGTGAACCCCCGGAGGAAGGTCCGGGGATGGTCCATGTTCACAATCGCGAACCAGCCCGTTGGGATGCACACAGACCCCACGACAGGGACCCCCGTGCCGGAATGGCAGGCCCGTTCACTGCTTGGTACTTTCCGTCTTCCCCGAGCCGGAAATTACAAATCTCGTAGCTACAAATGCGCGTAATTTTTTCAAATGTATTTTATTGATTTTTTACAGAGAGGAAGGGAGAGGGATAGAGAGCTAGAAACATCGATGAGAGAGAAACGTTGACTAGCTGCTTCCTGCACACCCTCTAGGGGGATGTGCCCGCAACCAAGGTACATGCCCTTGACCGGAATTGAACCCGGGACCCTTCAGTCCACTGACCCAAACCGGTTTCGGCTGGGTGAGATTTTTGTGAGCGGAAAGAATAGAGGTCATTCTGTTTTGATAAACAGCGTGCCCTCACCTGGCAGCTGTGGGGGTGGGGACCACGTGTCTAAGGTTCCTCGTCTGTGACTCGGGTCTGAGCACCCACAGGGAGGGTGGCCACGACCCCATAGGACCACGTGGGCAGACAGCGGGAATGCATGGGGGGGGGGACAGGGATGAGCCTTCACTGTTCCCCAGGCGAGGGCTGGCCGAGAGCCGCTAGGAGAGCCGCTGCTGGGGGTGCCTGCAGGTCAGGGCCCGGCGGGGAGCGTTGGGCTCTCAGCCAGGCCCCCGATTCTGCTGACCGGGCAGCCTCCCTCCTGAGCTCACGCTTCCGGACGAATCCCCTGACGCCGGCATCCCGTCCCAGACGGGCGTATATAGGGCGGGCCCGCGCCCGGCTCCCCACTGCGCTGCCCAGAGGCCCTGTGAGTCCCGGGTCCCGCAGCCCCGACGCCCACCATGGACATCGCCATCCAGCACCCCTGGTTCAGGCGCGCCCTGGGCCCCCTCCTCCCCAGCCGGCTCTTCGACCAGTTCTTCGGCGAGGGCCTCTTCGAGTGCGACCTGCTGCCCTTCCTGTCCTCCACCGTCAGCCCCTACTACCGCCAGTCCCTGCTGCGCACCGTGCTGGACTCCGGCATCTCCGAGGTGAGGCGGCCGGCCGGGAGGGCCGGGGTGGAGCCTGGAGGACCTGGGCCGCCCCGGAGCTGCGCGCTCTCGTCCTGCCGTGTGGGGTGCATGGCCACAGCTGGGGGGCCATTTCCCCCTCGCCCCAGTTCCCCTGCAGCAGCGCCTCCGGTGCCTCCGGGGAGGGGTCCAGAGGGAGCCTGCCTGGGCCCGACCGCTGTCTTTTCCTCCATCAGCTCATGACCCATTTGTGGTTTGTAATGCACCAACCACATGCTGGAAGCCCCAAGAGCAACCCCACCAAGGCAAGTTCGAGGCCGACGCGAGCTGAGTGTCCGGCAGCAGAAGCCTGGGTGGGGGGGCTGCCCAGGTCCCGAGCGGAGGGCCTACGGGAAGCCCTGGCCGGCCAGGGGAGAGGTGGAGAGAGGGCTCATCCCGCACCTGCCCAGGTGCCCGAGGCAGGGAGAGCCACCCGCAGGAAAGGCAGGGAGAGCCACCGTCTTCCCTCCCCGAGACGGCCCCCAGGCCCCGAGGGCTGGGTGCCACGTCTGCCCACCTCCTGCCAAGGGCCGTTGGGTATTATAACATCACTCTCGGCCATACAGAATGACCAACTTAAACATGAGCTGCTCTACTGGGTCCAACATTTCATTAACTCACCCCTGAGGCCTTACTATCGATAGTAGCAGGGCCAGGCCACAGGTCTCCAGGGGCCTTCAGAGGTCCGTGGGCTGGGCACTCCCCGCCCTGGTTGACCGTAGGCCTGCCCAGAGCTGACACACGAGGATCTAGCCCAGTGGCCAGAACCGCCTAAACTCAGGTTCTGTGTGCAGGTGGCAGCCACCTGGTGGACTGTTGGGCCCGGCCAGTCAATGGGAAAGGACAGGGCCCTGGCCTGTTGATGGTGGTCAGGGGAAGCCAGGGCAGTGGCTTTACCAGATGCTAGGTCCACCCACCCAGACAGACAGCCAACAACCAACTTTACCCAACCAACCAGCCAGCCAGCCAGCAACCAACCTTACCCAACCAACCAGCCAGCCAACAACCAACCTTACCCAACCAACCAGCCAGCCAGCCAGCAACCAACCTTACCCAACCAGCCAACAACCAACCTTACCCAACCAACCAGTCAGCCAGACAACTACTAGCCAACCAGTTAGCCAGCCAGCCAACAACCAACCTTACCCAAACAACCAGCCAGCCAGCCAGCCAGCAACCAACCTTACACAACCAACCAGCCAGCCAGCCAGCAACCAACCTTACCCAACCAGCCAACAACCAACCTTACCCAACCAACCAGCCAGCCAGCCAACTACTAGCCAACCAGCTAGGCATCCCACAACAGCTGCCCGGCTGCAACCAGCCAGTGGGCCCCGCTACCAAGCAGACAGCCACAGACACCACTCCTTGCACCAGGCCTGGCTGTCAGCCGAGTGTCCACACAGCCCCGGTCACTGGTCCCCTGCGTGTGTCTGAGGAGAGGCCAGAGCTGTGACCTGCAGTTTCTGTCCTGATCGTTGGGGACGGAGCCGCCGGCCACTCCATCCTGGCCACCCTAGCCCGCCCGGCAGGGACCACAGCAGCAAGCCCCCTCCCTGAGGCTCAGCCCAGGGAGACCCACACGAGCGTTTGGGTTCCAGGTCCGATCCGACCGGGACAAGTTTGCCATCTTCCTGGACGTGAAGCACTTCTCCCCGGAGGACCTCACCGTGAAGGTGCAGGAGGACTTTGTGGAGATCCACGGCAAGCACAGCGAGAGGCAGGTGAGCCCGGAGCCCGTGAGGGGCCGCCCCAGGCTCCGGGACCCAGGCTTCTCCGGGAGGGGCGGCCCTCCTCAGCCCAGCGGCCGCCCAGTGGGGGCAGGGTCTCCGGCAGAGGTGGGAAGGGCCCACGGACGGTCACAGGTATGCACTGCCCCCACGTGAAGTGGACAGGACGCAGGGCCTGCGGGCACCATGCTGGCAGCGCCAGCTTCTCTTGGCCGGGGCCAGAGCCCAGGGGTTCCTTCGATGGCTGGAGGAGCCGTGGGTGCTGGTGGAGGAGGGGGCACTGTCCATGCCCCTTGTTTAGCCAGCTCAGCCCAGGATGGTCCTCCCGGGAGGGTTCTCAGCCTTCCCACCTGGAGGAGGGACGGGGCCCAGCAGACGAATGTGGGCTAGCGCGTCTAGGAGAGTGGGCTCCTGTGCTTAGGGGGGCTTCCTGACCCTCAGGTGGACCCAGGGACCCCGAGCCCGAGCAGTCAGTCTGTGGGGTCACAGGGACAGGGACACCCGACCCGGTACAGGAACAGAACCAGTCATGAGGCTTCAGAGGGAAGTTAGAGCAGTGAAGGGCCCGGACCATTATGGAGGGAGGCGGAGGTGGGGGAGATGGGGGGGTTGAGGGTAGGGGGGTGGGGCAGGGGTAGGGGGATCTCAGCAGAAGCCCCTCCTCCCCGCTCCGCCTGGGAATGGCCATGGGCTTGACCCTCGAGCTGTCCAGGAGGCCCTTCTCCCTGAGGGGCTGCTGCCCCCGCGGGAGTGGCTGCTGGCCGCTCTGACGGTGCCCCCTCGTCCCCCAGGACGATCATGGTTACATCTCCCGGGAGTTCCACCGCCGCTACCGCCTGCCTTCCAACGTGGACCAGTCGGCTCTCTCCTGCTCCCTGTCTGCCGACGGCATGCTGACCTTCTCTGGGCCCAAGGTCGTCGCACCTGGTGGGGACGCGGGCTACGGCGACCGGGCCATCCCCGTGTCACGGGAGGAGAAACCCGGCTCTGCCCCCTCGCCCTGAGCTGGGCCGCGCGTCCGCTGCCACCCGCTGCTGCCCCTGCCACCATCCAACCGGGGGAGCCCTAGGAACGGGGCATTTGTCTTCCCTCTTTCCTCTTTCTCCTTCCCTTCTCCTCCCTCTTCTCCGAGGGAATGAGGGTTTGAGAGCGCAGCCTGGAGGGTTTGGGACCTCGGTCGGAGGTGCTGTGACCCCAGATCCCAACACCGGCCAGTTGGTGGGAGTGACAGCCATCCCACTCCATTAGACAACTGCCCGCCCTGCTGGGGGGCGCAGGCCCGCCTCGGCTGACCGAGGACAGCCCTGCTGAGCCATCCCCGGGTGCCTTCCAGCCAGGCGCATCTGACCATGGCAGCGGGCACCTCATCAGGGCCCGGCCGTGGGCTGCCACGTGTGCCCAGCCCCAAGGGGCTGACCCTTGGAGGCCCAAGTGCCCGGCCCTCAGAAGCCCGCTTCTCTCTTCTCTCCTCCTTCCTCTCTGCAGTCCGCTCCTGGGCGCCTGGCGCCCCTGACATGCAGCCCGTGGCAGTCAATAAAGAGCAGGTGACACAGCACCCCGCCGCCTGGTGGCCCTGCCTTCTCTGTGCAGGCAGAGGGGGGAAGGGGTGACACAGCTCAGAGTGCAGGTGTCAGGGGGGGAGGACGACTCACCTTTTCCTTTTCCGTTTCGTCTCTAAGCAACTAGTCACTACCTGGCTTCCAGTCCCCGCCTGGCTTCACAGGAGGGAGAGGTTTTCAGAACTCGGAGGGATGGGGGGGGGGGGGGGGAGCCTCAGGCTCAGTCCCCAGTGCTCCTGGGAAATGGGTGCCAGGCGGGGCCTCGCCCTCTGCCCTGCCCCACCCCTGCCCCTGGAGGCTGCTCTCCGGGCTCCTCTGGGGTGAGTTTGAGGGATCCTACCCCCCGGGTTCCTAAGGGATGAGAAACAGCATCACCCACCTCTATTGGGCACCAGGCCTTGGCTCCCCCTGGGAGGCACACACACACACACACACACACACCCGCCTCCCCTCCTCCTGAACAAGGCACGTGGTCTTCGGGGGCGTGGGGAGACCAGAGCTGAGCGCCCCACCAGGAGCAGGAGGCCTCAGTGTTCACCTGACTCCCTAAGGTGGGGAGGAGCAAGGCCTGGGGGCCACAGCCTCAGGGCAGGGGTGGCTCAGCCAGGGGCCCGGCAGGTGCAGTGACCACAGAGGGTGATGTGGGTGGCCAGACCGGGAAGCCAGCAGACACTGTGGCCTGGTGGGCTCTGCCCCCGTGGTCAGTCCGGGAAAAGGGTCCTCTCCTGGGAGCACAGGGGACAGCCCTCGGAGGTGCCCGCCCTCTTTCTGGAACAAACTAGACCCCCAGAAGGCAGGACACACAGAAAAAAAAAATTCCCAAAGTGATTCCTTCTCACTTGAAGTGAAACAGTGTGCTGTCATTTTAAGTGGAAAGCAACACACACACACACACACACACACACACACACACACACACACCCCTGTATCTATCCCTCTGGGCTGGGCCCCCATTGAAAGAGGAGCCCTCATCCCTGTGGGAGTTTCCCAGACTCCTCCTACCCCCGCCTGCCCTCCTTCCAGCAGGAAGGCCCCACTCCTGCCAGACAATCCACATCCACAAAGAACGTGGGTGCCCCGTGTGGTGTGGGAGGCAAAGGGGCCTCTGCATTGGGCTGGGCCGGAGCCTCTGAGCTCCTCGCTCCTCCCGAGTCTCCTCAGGAACGGACGGTAGGCCATGCTTGTCCGGGGATGACGGATCTCTCATGGAGAGGTCCCTCCACTCCGGGCGGGGCGCTGGGCTTCAGCGGGGACAGTCCGCAGCTGCTGTTTTGTTTTGATTAACAATAGCACATAGTTGTTGTTTATTTTTATTATTTATTAAAAATATATATTTTATTGATTTTTTACAGAGAGGAAGGGAGGGGGATAGAGTTAGAAACATCAATGAGAGAGACTCATCGATCAGCTGCCTCTTGCACACTCCCCTCTGGTGACCTACCTGTCCGCAACCAAGGTACATGCCCTTGACCGGAATCGAAACTGGGACCTTTCAGTCCGCAGACCAGACCGACGCTCTGTCCACTGAGCCAAACCGGTTTCGGCAGTTGGTTGTTTTTTAAATAGGCAAAAAGAGAAAAGCAACGACAACAAAAGCACCCGGCAGGGAGGGTGTTCAGGGGGTCAGTGTCTTTGGGGAGGAGAATGCCGCTTTAAAACGGGCCGAGGAGAGCGGTGGGGAGACAGGGTCGCGGGGCGACTGTCCCTGCGTCTGGAGTGTTTAAAAAGCCGCTGGGGGGGGGGGCAATGGAAAGATATGTACACATATAATACAATAATAATAATAATAATAATAATAAGCCGCCCTGCGAGCCGGTTCTGGAGCGGGAGGAGCGAGCAGGCTGACCGACCGGCGCCAGAGCCCGGCTGCTCGGCCCCAACCGGACCCTCAGCCCCGGGGCGGGAATCGGGCGCCCAGCCCCCAGGTCTTTGTTGCAAACGGACCGGTTCTCCTCGGAGACTTCTGGCCTTTTCTTCCCCTTCTCCGCCCCGCTCCCCGCCTCCTCTCTCCCTCCCCTCCTCGCAGGAGGCGCCTGCAGTCGCGCTGGACCCCGAATTCAACCGCAGGCGGACAGCGGGAGTCTCTCTCCTTAAAAAAAAAAAAAAAAAAAAGCAGCCGAAACGGGTGTGGCTCAGCGGAAGGGTCCCGGTTCCTCTCCGGTCCGGGGCATGTGCCTTGGTTGCGAGCGCGTCCCCAGTGGGGGGTGTGCAGGAGGCAGCTCATGGATGCTTCTCTCTCATCGATGTTTCTAACTCTCTATCCCTCTCCCTTGCTCTCTGTGAAAAATAAAAAATATTTTAAAAAAAGAAAAAGAAAACCCCTCTGATTGACGCTCTCTCCTGGCAGCATTATCAAAAGGCGAACTGCGCACTGGCTTCCGTTGCACCTCCCCTTGCTCCGCCCGAGGCCGTCCTGCTGTTTTCCACTGGAATCCGGCCGGGCTCTGCTCCTCCCCCCAAAACGGAGCGGAAGGGCGGGCCAGGCGGACTCGGGACTCCGGGTCCCGACGTGGCACAGGGCGGAGCTACCCTCCGCGTAGCGTAACTGGGCCTCAGCGAACCAATCAGGGTCAGCCGGAAGTGGGCCGCGGAGCGAGGGCGGTACTATAAAACGCGACCAAGCTTCCGGCGCCATTTTAGTCCTGCTGCCGCTTAAGAAGAACAGACGTCATGCTGGCACGGACTTCGGGCTTTCTGCCATTGCAACGGACTGGGCTCCCCGGTGGTCCGGGGCAGGCAGTATGGAGGCAGGGGGCGAGGAGAAAGCCAGGGAGCGAAGGAGACACGGAGAGAGGCCGCCGAGGGACGCCCAGGCCGCTGGGGGCAGGGGCAGGGCCGTGCCCTCCCGCGTCGGTCTCCGGGCCGCCGCCGCCGCCACCACCCGCACCGGCACCGCGCCCGGCCGAGGAGCCGCCTGTTCCTGCGCGTCCGCGCGGAGGAGGAGGAGGAGGAGGAGGACCGGGAGGGCGCCGTGACCTGGCCCAGCGCCACTGCCCACAGGTTCGGACCTGGACCGGGGGTGCGCGTGCGCCGTGGAGCGGCGCCGGGGGAGTGCGGGCCTGCGCCTTCCGGTGCGGGGGGGGGGAGGTGGAGGAGCTTCTTGCCCATGCCCAGCAGGGCTGTAGCTGGGAGGAGGGGCAGCCCAAGACGTGCTTCATTTTTTATTTATTTATTTATTATTTATTAAATAAAATTCACAATTTTTTAAAATATATTTTATTGATTTTTTACAGAGAGGAAGGGAGAGAGATAGGGAGCTAGAAACGTCGATGAGAGAGAAACATCGACCAGTTGCCTCTTACACACCCCCTACCGGGGATGTGCCCGCAACCAAGCAAGGTACATGCCCTTGACCGGAATCGAACCTGGGACCTTTCAATCCGCAGACCGACGCTCTACGGCTCAGCGGAAGAGTTTAAAAAGGCGGGGCTACAAACATGATGCAAATTACGACCGGTTGCTCCCCTCTGACGGCTGGGAGGTGGGCGGGGCGTGGGAATTCTTAACCTTCCTCCTGGGAGAGCGGCTGAGAGAGGAGATGGATCTGTCTGGGTATGCAGGTGTCCGCCGCCTCCTGCTGCTCTCCTTGCTGTGGGAGGCCACTGCTCCCCGCTGTGAGTTGGGCAATGGAATCGGGGCGAGGGAGCAGCGTGGGGACGGGGCCCTGAGGAATGAAATGCGTGGGACACTGCCGGCCGGTGGGGCACAGACCCCCCCCCCCCCCAATCGCTCCGCGATCATCTTTGCGGGAGCCGTTCAGAGCCTCTGCATGCCCGGCTGCCTCTTTCCCGGGGAGAGGACGGACCTGAGCCTGTGGCTTGTCAGAAATGGTCCTGGGCGAAGGGACCAGGAGGAAGATGGGAGCCAGGAGGACCCGGGGGTTCTGATGAACGGCTCCCCCCGTCCCGCCGTCGTCCCCTCCCTCCCCTAAAGCTTCTCCAAAGTGGGAGAGGAGCCCCTGCCATCTGGACCGAACGAGACAACGGCCGCCCAGCATCAGGGGGTCACGTGCTGTCAGGGATGCGGGAGGGGCCCTTGGGTGGCTTTTGTTCCAGCCCCTGCGTGTCTCCCTCACAGGTGCCGTCTCTCTGCGCTATAACTTCACAGTCAGGACTAATGGACAGCCGTGGTGTGACATTGAGGGCCGGGTCAATGGGAACACATTTCTTCATTTTACCTGTGGTGGCCAGTTCACACTCACCAGTGTTCCGGACATGAATGCCACACGGGCCTGGGGCGAGCAGAGAGACACTCTGCAGTCCGTGGTGGAAGAGCTCAGGGTGCCCCTGCTTGACATGAGAGCAGAGATTCCTGCAGCCGGCGGTGAGTTCACAGAACCCGGGGCACAGGCAGAACAGAGGTGAGGGCTGAGTTGCGTTTGGGTAAACGTGGGAAGTTGGTCCCCCCCCCTGAGACTGGGAGCCTCAGAGGACAGAGCAGGACCAGGAGATAGAGGGGAGCGGGGGGCTGGACACCAGTGGAGGCTCTGCCAGACCCAAGGCTGACCTCCTTCCCACGGTGCTGGGGACAGGTCCTCTCGCCCTGCAGGGCAGCATGGCGTGTGAGCGGGAGTCCAGTGGGCGCACCAGCGCATCCTGGCAGTTTGGATCGGATGGACAGCCATCTCTCCGCTTTGACTCAACGAATGGACACTGGACGGTGTTGCGCGGCGAAGGCAGGCGGTTAAAGACAGCATTGGCGGGTGACAGAGCTATGACCCACCTCCTGGTTATGACCTCAACTGGAGTCTGTAGGCAGTGGCTTCAACAAGTGGTGTGCACACAAGGTAATTCTGCAGAGGGAGGGAGGTTGTAGGTCCCTTGAAATGACATTCACACTGTGTGTGGTGTGTGGTGTGTGGTGTGGTGTGTTTGACTGAGAAAGTGACCCTCCACGACAATAATCGATTTTCAGAGAATGAGGGCCAATGATGTGTTCTGGGATCTCTGTTGTGGTTTCCCACCTCCTCAGTCTCTGCCTGCACATACCCTGGGCCACTCACTCACCGGGGTTTCTTGCTGACTGCAAACCTGCGGCCATGGTTCTGTTGCCTGACCTTTTCCGGGTCCTGTTCCCTCTTCTCAGCATCGTTTGTCTTCTTCAGCTCCCCTGGTCTGTTTCTGGAATCCTTTAACACTCCTCAGTGAGCTCCTGCGAGGATTCTCTACCACCTCCCCCCCTCCTCTCCTCCTTCCTGTCCCAGCAGGCGTGACTACTGTCAGCCTTGCTTCCCCGTTAGCTGTGTGAGCCCCAAGGGCCCGGGCCCACCTCCTCCCTCTGCTCCAACCCCAGGACCTGTCCCTGGGCGGCCACACGCAGAGGCAGACACTGCTCGGCAGGGTCCCCGGGACAGCGGGGCTGAGGGCCTCTCCGTGGAACTGGGTTTTAAACGGCTCTCACTCTCCTGCTTCCATTACAGCTGCATCAGCCACGGCCACAGCCAACAGGCCCGTCTCCTGGGTCCTCCCTGGGATGCTCACCTGCGCAATCACAGTTGGCCTCTCAGGCTGGGCCTTTACCTGACAGGAACCAGGGCATAATTACAGGCGCCATAACAGGTACTGATGGACGGCACACGCACGCTCTGAGCAGCACTTCAAACCGTGCAAAGAAGTGAAATTTGGGTTCCTGAATGGTTTGCCTCCAAACAAGAAAAGTTCTATTGGGACGTTGCCCACAGATTACCTGTAAGATGGGGGAAATGTGTAGCTACAATGGGCATCACTTTGAATAAAGCTCTTTTGATATTTCCTTTGAAATTATTCTGTTTTTGTTTTGTTTTTTTTAAATGACAAAATCGGCCATTATTAACTGCTACACTGGATGAGAGCAGTGGAGCATCTATTGTGTCGAGGTGAGGAGGATTAGGGAGTGAACTTGAGAAACCCGGGTTGGTTGAAGGTAGTCATTCCCCTTGTTAATTTATAAAGGCTCAAATATAGGGGTGGGTTGGGGAGGGGGAGGCAGAATAAGTTGTATTTTTAAAAAAGAAAGCTTGGTTTGATATAAACCCTGCCCCGACTCAAGCGAGGCTGGCCAAGAACCAGTGTTCAGAACAAGAGCAGAGGGGGATTCTGGACACGTCTGACCATCTCATGGGCAGTCACTGTTCGCCAGGACAGTCATGGCGAGTACTGTGCCAGACCGAGGGAATGGCGTGTAGCGCACCACACAGCCACTAGCCTGGACTCCCGCCTAAGGGCTCCCTCTGGACACCGACATGAGAGGGACCTCCGCTCCTGGTGGGCAATGGGATCGGGGCTCCAGCCTCCCAGGGCTGGAGCCTGGCTTCCTCCGCCTGCTTCCCTCTCCAGTGGCTGGGAGTCTTCTGGCTGCAGGGCGGGCAATCCCCAGAGCCCAGCCTGGCTTCCCCCAGACTGCCGGAGCGGAGGGGGGAGGGGGAGGGAGCCGCCCAGGCAGGGCTTCCTCCACCTGCTTCCCTCTCCTCCCTGGAACCCCCCAGTGGCTGGCAGTCTTCGCCTGAAGATGCTTCTAAGGAAAGGCTCCCCCTGTCTGTGTGTGACCTGCGTGTGATCCTATTGGCTCACCGGGGAGGTCTCCCTTACTAAACCTGGCACCTTGCACTCAGGGCCAAGGGAAGCGGCCAGTGTGTGCTCATGTGCTTCAGCCACCCCAGGCCCCAGTGGGCCTCAGGCTCTGGCAGTCAGAGAGTGAGGGCGGCCTCTGGAGGGGACAGCTGGGATCACAGCCAGCCCCCCCTCGGAGGCCACGTGTTCTCACTAAACATTGGACTTGGATCCTCACAGGAAACCACCAAGGGCAGCAGGGCCCTGTCTGAAGAGGCACTGGCTTTGGGAACCTGTGCTTTGGAAACACTTTATTTTTTATTTTCAGCAATACAAAAGATAAATATTTATTCAGAACAAAACTTGTAACAATGGACTTTACATTCCAAGCCACAAAGAAATAGCAAAACTTAATGCAAAGGGAAGACAAAACCCCAATGTATTCTCCTTTAACTTGGTAACACTGACCCAATGCTCTATCGCATGGCCCATTTCACAAGGACATTTCAGAGGTAAAAACTCACTTATAATTCTGGGTTCAAACAGCCTTTCTCCTGAGAGTCAGGAGTTTGCAGGTGAACTGCATTAGCCGCTTCTCTGGGGTGTCTGACTATTGAGACTAAGGTGCAAATGGAAACCTTTACTAGGTTTCCTTACCCAGGAGCACCCCGATTGCTCATGGTGGCAACAGATGGGGAAGGGGAAGGCTCCCAAAGGACCCAAAGGGTGAAAATTCCGGGAGAAGACAAGGCCCAGGGAGTAAGCAGTACAAACCTCCCCTCCCCCAATCACACACACAAAAAAGAACCAAAACTAAATTCAATAGAGGGACTGGCAGCGTATCTGCACACTAACAGTTTTTGGAAGTCCTGACTAATGAATGAGTCACCAATTCAGGAAAGGCTGAAAGGGAGTAACCTCAGTCTAAGAAGCCTGAGAGATATATCTCTTGTTTAAAAGGATCTCTTTCAAACACGATAGAAAATAGTTTCAAAAAAAAGTTTTGGCACTTAAGAGGGGGTGAACTGGCTCTGCGTTCACCCTGGCCGGCAGGCAGGCGGGGGTGTTCAGCGGCAGCGGAGGTTCCACGTTGTGAACTTTGGGTGAAAAGCGTCTTCGGGCTGGATTTGCTCCGCCCAGCACCACAGAGTCCTCCCCGCCGTTCTTCTCCCCCCGCCCCCCCGCCCCGTCCCCTTCCTTCCCCTCCTCCCCCTCCCCCTCCCATCCCTCTCCCCTTCCCTTTCCCCTCCCCCTCCCTCTCCTCCTCCATGTAGAATGAATCACTCTCTTGGGAGCGAATTCGCTTTCTCAATCAGCGGCCTGGGCGTCCCTCGGCGGCCTTTGTCCTTCTGTCCTTCGCTCCCCCGCTTTCTCATCGCCCCCCCTCCGTACTGCCTGCCCCTTGCTCCGGACCGGATTGAGGAAGCGGAGCACAGCCAGGCTCCGGGTGAAAACTGGACACCCTCCGTCGGGAACCGGAAACCCGGGCGGAGGAAGGGGAGGCAGCGAACCGAAGCCAGTGTGCAGTTCCCGTTTTGGCCGCGCTGGGTTTTCTTTTTTTAAACATTTTTAAAAAGAAACCAAGGCACATGCCCCGGACCGGAAAGGAACCGGGACCCTTCCGCTGAGCCACACCCGATTCGGCTGTTTTTTTTTGTTTGTTTTTTAAGGAGAGAGACTCCCGCTGTCCGCCTGCGGTTGAAGCCGGGGTCCAGCACGACTGGGCGCCTCCTGCGAGGAGGGGAGGGAGAGGAGGCGGGGAGCGGGGCGGAGAAGGGGAAGAAAAGCCAAGAAGTCTCCGAGGAGAACCGGTCCGTTTGCAACAGAGACCTGGGGGCTGGGCGCGGTTCCCGGCCCCGGGGCTGAGGGTCCGGTTGGAGCCCAGCAGCGGGGCTCCGGCGCCGGTCGGTCAGCCTGCTCGCTCCTCCCGCTCCGGAACCGGCTGGCAGAGCGGCTTTTTTATTATTATTATTATCATTATCATTATTATGATATTATATGTGTAAATGTCTTTCCATTGTCTCCCCCACCCCCCGGCTTTTTAAACACGCCAGACGCAGGGACAGCCACCCCGCGACCCTGTCTCCCAACCACTCGCCTTTAAAAGCGGCATTCTCCTCCCCAAAGACACTGACTCCCTGAGCACCCTCCCTGCCGGGTGCTTTTGTTGTGGTTGTTTTTTTCTCTTTTTTGCCTATTTAAAATAAAATAAAACAAAAGAAAAGAAAAAAAAAACGGTGCTGCTGTTAATCAAAACAAAACAGCAGCTGCGGACTGTCCCCATGAAGCCCAGCGCCCCGCCCGGAGCGGAGGGACCTCTCCATGAGACATGGGTCATCCCCGGACAAGCATGGCCTACCGTCCGTTCCCACCTCCCCGGGCGGCGCCGGACTTCGCCATGAGCGCGGTGCTGGGCTACCAGCCGCCCTTCTTCCCACCGACTCTGCCTCCCAACAGGCCACCGCGCCCTGGCCAAGCCCATCCTGCACCAACTGGTGGGGCGGCCGAGGCCCCGCACCCCCTTCTCCTCCCTGCGGCCCCAGGGCCTCTGAGCCTCTGAAGACAGTGGAGCCTGAGGAAGAGGTGCAGGACGCTCCCAAGGTGCACCTGAGGCCAAAGCACGTGGGGATCAGTTCCACAAGCGGCACCGAGACGGTCATTACCCAGTCGGGAAGGCGAATGTCCCCCCTTTAAAGTAAGGTGTTCTGGGCCGGATAAGAAGGCCAAGTGCATTTGTTGATGGACATTATAACTGCCGACGACTGTCAATGTATTAAATAGATTCTACAATTCCTGGAGGATGGTGGCGGCTAAGGCCGGCCCTAAAATGCCAAAGAGAATATATCCACGGGGACAGCCCGGCTACCGGGGAGCACTGGATGTCCCCAGTTGTCACTTCCCACAAACTGAAACTCACCACCAACATTTCGGACCAGCACGGGCTTACTCTGGCCTTCCCAGGCGATCAGGCGACGTGGCGGAGGAATTACAGTTTTGGTGCTCGAACTGGACTCAACTCCATGCACAAATACCAGCCCCGATTGCAGAGTGTGAGAGCCAGTGACACCCTGAAACCCCCAGATCATACATGTTGGACTTACCTGTTCCCCCAAACAGAATTCATGGCTGTGACAGCGCACCAGAAAGAGAAGATAACCCAGTGAAAGATAGACAGCAACCCTTCTGTGCAGGATTCCGGGAGCTGGGAATGGCAGAAGAGAGGAAAGAACACTGCTCACCCTCCAGTCCACGGGGGCGT